AGATTAATATGAATCAGCTAAGGAGGACTGTAATGAATCATGGCTTCAGTGTTTTGATATATTTGACCCCATGGGCTATAGCATGCCAGCCGGGCGGCCCGCATGGAGCAGCGCAGCCAAGGACATGGCAGCTGGGTGGCAGGGACAAGACTCTGCCCTCATGCCCCATTGTGTATAGATGATGCTGTGGGGGGGCGGGCGGAGGGCATGGCCTCCATGGCACTGCAGTATTGCCTGGGCGATATGCTGTGGCGGTCTGTGGAAGTGGTAGGTGGCCCTGTGGGGCGGGTGGCAGAGGAGGTGGGCAGGTGGGCACAGGGTGGGCACGGGGTGGGTGGAGCAGGCAGGGGGCAGAGCAGGGCAGGGGTGGGGCGGTTTTTGGGCATTCAATGTCTAAAAGGTTCGCCATCAATGCCCTAGGATCAGTGGTAGTATCAAGTAACTGGAGGCAAGTGTTATGGATATTCTGTAGTCCATCTTGCAACCCTAACCACATTTCTTTCTGAGGTTGGCTTCTGTCTGTGAGACTGTGTGTGGTGCCTTGGCTCCTTCTTCCCAAGAACAAACTATCTGGAGGTTATCCAAAGATATGTAAGACATCTACCTAGGTTACTGATACTTCTTTTGTATTGTTTCTTCTACTTTTCTTTTTATAGTTGTTTTTCCATTGATGAAGAAATCCAAATCAGCAGTTGCTCTTGGAATCATTAGTGTTGCCTTCGTGATGGTTGTGCTAGCAGTGGTCATATCCCTCTTAGTCATTTATGTTCTCCCAAGTGGTAAGTCTATGGACTTCTTCTATCAATATTGTAATACTGATGGAATAGTAGTGTCCATGAAGTTATTATCAATTGCACTTGAGAGATTTCCAACCAAGGATGGGATTGGAATGACTTTGGTCCGTTCGTTTTTCCTCATAGGTTTTTTTTCCAAGGTATTCATGTTCTTATATGCTCATTAATAAAAGAAAGAAAGATGGATGAGATTACAGATCAGAGAAAACACTAGGCCAGAAGATTTTGAAGAAAGGATGGTCTTGGGCAGTGGTGGGATTCAAATAATTTAACAACCAGTTCTCTGCCCTGATGACCGTTTTAAGGAAAAACAGAAACAGGAAAAAGTTCTAGAGCCACAACCCCAGCTAATACTTGGTGGCCTCGCCCCCTTTCCCATATGCATCAATTGGGAAACTAGAGAAATGAAGCATCTATTCCTGAAATTAACTCTGAGAAATACCACCTAGTTTTCACCTGAGTGACGTGATCGAAGGCGCCGCGTCTCCATTTGGTTTCCATTGCTCCTCCCTTGGACTTTTGGGGAGGGTTTTTTCCCCGCTTGGAAGGAAGTTGAATGAAAACCAGACGTGTTCTGGAAAATAAGGATTTATCATAATCGATTCGCCGAACTCAATAAAAAATTAGGTATCGGTTCTGCTGAACCGGTGTGAACTTGCTGAATCCCACTACTGGTCCTGGGACAAAAGTAGAAAAGGATTAGATGGTTAACATTATTTCTCAAATTGCATTTCTTTACTGATGGTAATGGTTACATTGCCAACTGCCAAATAAAGGAAATATTTATATGCAGTGTTGAACGTTGTACTCTGATGATACCATAGCAAAGCACATATGGGAGAAAAAGGAGAAAAAGGAAAAACTAAGCTATTTTTTTTTTAAAAAATCAAGGTATGGCAAGTGCCTTGAAACATTCCTGAGGGACTCAAAACTAATGATACCATAGATTTCCTAATTTTTTTTTTCTAAAAATGGCACTATTTGTACTTTTCTATTGGTTCTTTGGGATTCTCTTCCTTTTTCTTAAAAAAAAAGGAAAAACCGAGACAGGTTCTCAGACCAATAGATCTTTATTACGGTCAAAGGGCAGTATATCGACACTGGGGTACAGTCAGTTTAAAAACATACATACTGGCATCTTTGGGATCTACTAACAGTAGTGAGAGACGGAAGGCATAATCTCCCATTCCATCGTTGATTTTGTTGCTTATCAAACTGGGAAATAAAATTTGCAAAAAAAGCAAAGGTGAAAAAGAAAGCAAACTAGTTGTTTTTTTAACCAGTGTTTTTGAGTGTACCAGACCTTACATGCTTTGAGAATCGAAATATTGTTCCTCATAAAATGGCTTATTGCAGTCACCACTGCTGAAATCTTCCATCTGAGGAAATACTCTTCTCATCCTGAAGGTGCTGTGCTGTGTTTCATTCACTGGACTTAATTTTGGACTCCTCAAGCAGTGTCTGTCAACGCTACTAAATTGGATGTTCTTGCTTTGACAATGATGGAGATGCAGCCTTTTTCTTTCTGTTGTTTTACTCTTAGAGTTAGATGATGCTGGGGGAAGGGGGAGGAATGCGATGGGAATTAGTTAGATAAAGAATGGCGGGAGAGGAAACTGGGCGGGAAGCCAGCATTTTGAACTAATTGGAGAATGTGATTTATGACAGTTGTAGGAGGGAATTGTGCTTTGATCTATGTGCTGAAGGGAGTGGAAGTCAGATTTTGGCTTCAGCTATGTACGTACCGAAGCTATGCTGCTCGATTAAAGATTCTTTAAGGTAAACAATGCCTAAAAGTTCTTTGTTTTTTTTGTTTTTTTTAATTTAAATTTTATTGAAAACAAAAATTAAAAAACATTGAACATGATAAATCAGATTTGACATACATCTAAAAGTTCTTTGAAGAGTTTCATCTTTCGGAACCATGACGTTAAGCCAAGATCTACAAACTTTCCAAACTTTCTAGGGGTCCTGAGCCCCAGTCACTGTCCCCAGACATGAGGGTAGCTGAAAAAGATTCAGGAGAAGATTTCATCATGGAGAAAAAAAATTGCTTGAAACTGGCAACCCGGCAGCAGCTGCTACCCCGGGGGGGGGGAGCGACAGCAAACAAGCAGGAAGGAATAGCTTTTGCAGGACTCCCAGCTGGAGGCAAAACCCAAGCAGCTAGGAGAGCTGATCTGGTCGTCAGATGGGAACCAGCCCAGCGGAGACTCCAGATGCCTCGAGACTGCCTTGCTACCCACAAAGACTTCAAAAGCAGACCGGTGGAGAGCTATCAGGACATCTGCCACTGAGGGCTCGGGTGAGTGGGAATGCATGTCTGCAGATTGTAGCCAGCCAGTGGAGAGATTTGAAGGGCTAGGGCAGAGAAGCAGAAATCAACTCCTGCCGAGAGAAGCCTCCAGCCCCTCCTTTGCAGATCAGACTCCTTCCAGCCCCTGGAATCCCCTGCCAGGGCCTCCAACCCCACAGAGAGAGAGAACCCCATTCTGAGGACCCTGCAGCAGTGAGGAGTTTGGCAGCCCCCACAGGTGGATGGTCAGTGACCTCTGAGCTTGCAGCAGCTAACAGAGGCCTTGCAATAGCTTGGGGTGGTGCAGAAGCCAGGAGATCAGCAGCTGGTGGGAGGATGACCGCAGCAAGGAGGCTGGTCACCGCCCCCTAATATACAGCAACCACTGAGGGGCCTGCAGATGATGGAGTTCCAACAACAACCTCCTCTGAGGCTGCAGGGGGCCTTACAGTGGTTGAGGATGCCACAGCTCCCAGCAGACCAACAGCAGGGGGAATGGCAACAGACCCCAAATGTGCCACCCCTGGGAATGCAGCAGCAGCCAGAGTGGGAGCTCCAGCAGCAACTGGGGGTGCAACAGCCATGGTGGAGGCCCCAGCAGCCATTGAATCAGCAGCCAGATTGGGGCCAACAGCAACTGGGGGTGCAACAACCATAGTGGAGAGCCCAGCAGCCAATGATTGCTCCACCTTTCAGAGCAACCTTCGATGGGGTCCCAGAGAAACTGATTTTTTTCTCAACCAAGTGTGCTCTCATTTAAACCGCTGGGCCTATCTCTACCCGGACCCAGCCGCTATGGTCGATGTGATTGCGTCTGGCTTAGAGGGAGAGGCATCTGAATGGCTGAACAACTTATATAATGAGCAAGCCCCCAAATTGGAGGACCTCCACCTCTTCCTGCTAGGACTGAGAGAAAGATTTGAGGACACATCCATTGCCCTCAAAGCAGAAGAACAAATCCATAAATAAAACAAGCTGGCAGGCCTGCCTTGGAGTACGTACGAGAGTTTTGCAAGTTAGCTGGTCGAATAGAGAGGTCGAATAGAGAGTCCATAGTCCATCACTTCAGGGAAGGGTTGGATGATCACCTCTCTCAGGCATGCATCTATCGAGCAGTACAAGAATGGTACCAGGCAGTGGTAAGACTAGACATTCAGCTCGCCTGCTATAAGAAGCCTCCCCCACCTGAAGCCGAGCCAAAGCCAGAGCAACACAAACGGCATCCCCCCGAAAATGTCCAATTGCTGCGACTGCTGAAGGACCTAGGCCACCTGCAGGCCTGCCAATCAAGTGCTTCCGATGTGGACAGCAGGGACATCGAGCAGCGAATTGCCCAGTCCCCTACCCCCAACAGCAGAGTAGACCGGGACCAGCAGCGAGAAAGAAACCTGCCCAGCAGCCAACGAGAAAGAAATCCAACTGGATCACATAGGAACCAATTGCCTAAGTCACATTCCCCAAGCAGGAGGACGCCGAGACTAAGACTGGATCCACCCCTGCTCTATCCTCTTTCGATAGCGACGACGAAGGAGAGAACGACCCGATGGTAAGTCGACACATCCCATCTTTCTCGCTGTCAGCCAAACTCATAATCCCTAAGTCGGGAGCACAGGCAGACTTAAAAGTGCTCGTCGATTCCGGATGCTCCCAGTGCATCATTTAGCTTGCCATTTGCCATGAAAATGGGCATATGAGCAAAGCTACTCTCCAAACCTGTGAGGTTTGAGCAAGCCGATGGCTCCCTGATGAGAGGGACTTTAGTCACTCAATTAACTGAGCTCCTACGCTTAGAAATAGGAGAGCACTGGGAGTTCATTCATTTGCTGGTGGCTTCAAAAATGACTGAGACTATGATCCTAGGATTAGCCTGGTTGGACAAATGGAAGCTGCTTATCTGGTGGGAGAAGGGAATGAGAACTGTGAGGCTACCTATAGGGCCCAAGCCCCCTATTGATTCAACAGACATTACAGGAAACTTTGGCCCACCCAACGAGCAAGCGCACGTGGCTGCCTCACCGCCACCAGGTGAGCCACTCATCCCCAGTGAGTACCAGGACCTAGCAGAGGCATTTAGTGAGAAGGAATGCGACAACCTGCCTCTCCACCGACCCAATGATTGTTCTATTGAACTGTTGCTGGGAGCCAAACTCCCACGACTGAGAATGTACACCATGTCCCCCCCTTGAAATGGAGGAGATGCAGCGATACATGGACACTATCTCCAGTTTAATAGAGCCCAGCTCTATTGGACAGATCACAAAAATCTAGAAGCACTGAAAACTCCCCGCAAATTGTCCCCGAAACAGGTGTGCTGGGCACAATACTTTAATCATTTTAACTTCACTCTAAAGTACATTCTGGGAGGGAAAAACTTCCTAGCTGATGCAATTATCTCCAATCCACAAACGGCTGCTCAACTCACACCTCGCAGGGCCCTAATCCTGATGACCCTGGGGCAAAGAAAATAAAATAAGAGCTCCTCACCGATCAATGGTTCAAGGACAATCAAACCTCCCTAACGTGCAGGGATGGTTTGGCTTGGAAGGGGGAAGGGAATTGTACTTGCCAGAAGCCCTCCATCTTAATGCTCTCAAACACAGCCATGACGTAAAACAGGCTGGACACTTTGGATATTTAAAAACTCTACATCTCATCCGCCGGCAGTTCTGGTGGCTGGGGTTAAAACGGGATGTGGAAAATTATATCAGGAGTTGTACTGTATGTGACACCATGAAAAGAATTCCAGGGAAACCCCCTGGGTTATTGCAGCTGGTGGCAGACCCTTCTCAACTATGGGAAGAAATCGCTGTGGACTTTATAGTAGACTCCCTGAAAGTAGAGGAAATACAGCCATCTGGAGACTGTGATAGACCTATTTTCAAAGCAGGCTCACTTTATCATTTTCATTTTCATTTTCATTTTATTAAATTTATACCCCGCCCTTCTCCCGTAGGACTCAGGGCGGCTTACAGCCAGTTAAAACAATTTAATACAATACAATAGAAATTTTAAAAAATCATTAAAAATAAATATATAATCGGCCGCTTCTACTAAAATTTGGCTAAAGGACTCCCGTCTGCCCAACAACTGACTAAACTGTTCTTGAAACACATCTACCGGCTGCATGAAGCCCCTAAACAAATAATTTCGGGCAGGGGGGTGCAGTTCACAGTTACGTTTTGGAGGAGCTTTCTTAAACTAATTGGATCATCTCACGGTCTATCATCTGCTTTTCACCCGTCTACTAATGGGGCTGCTAACAAGATGGTGGAGCAATATCTCAGATGTTATGTTTCATACCAACAAACCAACTGGACCGACCTCCTCCCTTTTGCAGAGGTGGCTTACAACAACTCTGTTCACAGCAGCACTGGCTTCACGCCTTTCAGAGTAGCTACAGGAAAAGAGTTCAGCCCAATACCTGAATACCCTCAAGCACCCTCAGCTTCTCAGACACTTGATCAATGGGTGAGAGGGTGGAAAGAGGTTTGGAAAGCCACGAAAGCTGCTTTAAAAAAGACTTCTGAGATTTATAAAAAGCAGGCAGACAGAAAGAGAGCCCCTCAAAGAACGTTCTGAGTTGGAGAAAAGGTCTATCTGTCAACCAAATATTTACGCCTTAAATTACCCAGTAAGAAATTAGGACCAACATTTTTGGGGCCTTTCCCCATCGTAAGAATCATCAACCCAGTCACAGTAGAATTAAAACTCCCTAGGCTTTTAGGGAGAATTCACCCTGTCTTCCATTGCAGCTTGTTGAAACCTTTGTGAGAATCTACTTTAAGACCTCCCCCTAAGAAGGCACCTGGACCCCTCGTAGTGGCAGGTCAAACTCACTATGAAGTAAAGCGTATTCTTGATTCTAGAATTTTTAAAGGGAAATTGCAGTACCTAGTACAATGGAAGGGATACTCGCTATCTGAAGCCACTTGGGTGAAATCTAGCGATGTGAAAGCCGACAGACTCATCAAAAGATTCTATAAGAAACACCCTAGTAAACTGAGAGACAGCCCCTAACATATGCTTTTGTTTATGCTACAGGACCTGTCCTTTTTGTAAGGGGGGCCGGATGTCAACGCTGCTAACATTGGATGTTCTTGCTTTGACAATGATGGAGATGCAGCCTTTTTCTTTCACTCTTTTTCTTTTACTCTTAGAGTTAGATAATGCTGGGGGGAGGGGGAGGAATGTGATGGGAATTAGTTAGATAAAAAATGGCAGGAGAGGAAAATGGGTGGGAAGCCAGCATTTTGAACTAATTGGAGAATGTGATTTATGACTGTTAGTTGTAGGAGGGAATTGTGCTTTGATCTATGTGCTGAAGGGAGGGGAAGTCAGATCTTGGCTTCAACTATGTACGTACCAAAGCTATACTGCTCGATTAAAGATTCTTTAAGGTAAACAATACCTTAAAGTTCTTTGAAGAGTTTCATCTTTTGGAACCATGACATTGTTCTTTCAACCTTGTCAACCTAGCTTTAAGAACTTAGATATGCTTTTAAATTTCAGATTCTGCACAGCCCTGTTCCTCTGTGTTGGAAGGAGTGCTTAATTCTTCTATGTATGTTTTTCAGGTGCTGATTCTGAAATTTCTAAAGGTTCTGGAGGTTACTTAATCGGTGTCGGCCGGGCAGATTGTACTGGTCCTATAGCTGATGTATCTCTTGTGAGTATTTGCCTGGCCTCAATAGCTGACAACCTATTTATCCCAACTATTTAACGACCCACTCAAACTCCTGCCTACTCTGTTCAGAGTCTCCCATTTGACCACCTTCTATCAAGCTCTCATCCAACCTTGGAGCCATGGGGACCCATGCCTTCTAATAATTTACATTGGGAAAGTTGTTTTCTCCTTTGGTGCCTGTCTACTACCCAGAAACCAAACATCAAACCCTTTCCCCTCCCATTTTATAATTCGTCTGAATTGCCTTCTTCCAATCTTCAATATCTCACAAGTTAAATCTCCCAACCAGGACCACTTTATTCTCTGGCTTCTACCTCTTCCCATTTTCTTCTTTCATTATTAGCCCTTCAAGGTAGTGCAGACAAAGAACAAAACAATCAATACTAGCTCCCCTCTTCTGCAGGTAACATTCCCACATGCTGTATCATTACATTCATTCCAACTTTTCTCTACAACTCCTGTACAATCCTTCTCAAAATTCTCTCAGGAAACACAGGTAGTCCTCCACTTACAACAGTTCATTTAGTGACCGTTCAAAGTTACATCACTGAAAAAAGTGGCTGATGACCCTTTTTCACACTTACGACTATTGCAGCATCCCCAGGTCAAGTGATCAAAATTCAGATAGTTGGCAACTGACTGACATTTATGAAGGTTGCAATTTCCTGGGATCACGTGATCAGCTTTTGTGACCTTCTGACAAGCAAAGTCAATGGGTAAACCAGATTCACTTAACAACTGCATTATTAACTTAACAACGGCAATGATGCACTTAACAACTATGGCAAGAAGGTCAAAAAATGGGGCAAAACTCACTTAACAAATGTCTCATTTAGCAACATAACTTTTGGGCTCAATTTTGGTCATAAGTCGTGGACTACTGGTACCAGCAAGTAACTAATAATGTAATTTATTCTGCCCACATTCCACCTACCTGAACTGAAACATTTCCATATTACTGGGGCTTTTAAAAAGATACCCTTTGTGTATTTGATAACTTTTCCTTTGTTTCCCCTATAATTATATTTATAACTTGGTAAAAATGTTCAGAAGGATTTTGGAAGCCACATGCCAGTTTTGAGGATGTATGTGCATTTCTGGAGTCTATAACGCTTCTGATAGAGAGGATTGAATTATGTGTATGGTTAATAATACCCAGCCTACTCCCACCAGTAGAATCTGGAAGGGGGCTTCTTTTGTCTTCCCTCTTTGAAGAGGTATTAACATCAGGGATTGCAAGGTCTTCTGCATTTATTCCCCCCTCCCCTGCTTTTTTTGGGGGGGGGAATAGTATTTCTCCCAAGCTTAAACTGGCAATAATCCTATGGGGGTTAAAGAAAGATTGGCTGTTCCAAAAAGCCTTTGGGGGTTCAGATGACTAGATTTCCTGTTACAGTAAGATCAGGGCATATGTGAGTTTGCTTGTTGTTCCTTGGTGCAGGATCATGGCATGATGTGAAAGAGTAATTATTGTTCCTATATTTACAGAATATGGGTACAGAATGTAAGGATTTATATTCCTATTTTTTTTTTACTTACGGTAGTCACTCAAAGTCAATAACCACCAAAGCATTTTCTAATCTTAAACAAATGAATAAATAATGACATTTTATGTTTCACTGTAGATGGGCTATGCCGATTCTAATCAAAAAGCTGGTGGCATTCTCTCACGACAATATTGCAGAACTTTCATCCTTGCAGAGCGAAAGAATAACACCAAACGAGTAATATATGTGGTTGCTGAAATAGCAGTAATGTCTCAAAGAATAAGGCTAGAGGTATGTGAGGAATAACCAGTACCTCCCTTCCCTTCCCTTCCCTTCTTTTCCCTTCTCCTCTCCTCTCCTTTTCTTTTCTTTTCACTTTATATGAGTTGTAATCATGGTGATGTTATGATGAAATCCAAACTGTAGGAGAAGGAGTGACAGAACATGGAGGTGGAGTCAAAAGAGGAATCAGCCTAGAGTCTTTCTGTAGCCACAAACAGACTATTTGTGGGGCTATGTAGAGATTCTATCTAGTCTGATTCCTTTTTTGTCTTTGCCCCCAGGTGCTATATTCATCCTACACAAACAGATCTACTTAAATGGCACACCAGTAGAAATTTAGGAATTAAAAGACACATCCTTAATTTTAGTCAATTTTAGACCATCAGATGTCAATTCATACAATGAGCTGGCTTCTGGTTTTTTTTGTCTTGCTTTCTATATTATGGATTATTTAATGTATTTAATTAATCATTGCAGATATTCTTCAGGTCCAATCCAGGTCCTCTTACACAGCACTGTAATTAAGGCAACTTTTCTTATCTTGGTTTAGAGAAGGTGGATTGCAATCCCAACATCACTACTGATTTAGAATTTTCCCTACAGAAGGCTGCTTAATGCCTTGATAAATGCATATATGTGTATATGTTAAAGTGCATAGCATTTCTAAGATATATGTTCTGGATAAACATATATATTCTGGATGTGTATGTACACCCACACACTTCTAATTCCCATTACTGAATGCCTTTAGAAATATCCCTCTCCTTGTTCTGTTGAAAATATTTTATATAAAAGTAAAATCTAACAATGAAACACAATATATTTCTTTCAATCCTTTTTTAAGGTAATAAAACAGTTAAAAGATAAATATGGAGATCTCTACAATCACAATAATGTGTTAATGACTGCAACTCATACCCATTCAGGACCTGCAGGCTATTTCCAAAACACCTTGCTCATACTAACATCTGGAGGTCTTATAAAGCCAACACTGAATGCCATTGTCAACGGGATCCTTAAAGTAAGGCAACATCCAATTTAGCATTTTAACTTCATGTAATGGTATCTTTTGAGACTAAAAAAGATTCTCATCCTTCTTTGCACATTCCTCCAAGAGAACAGCTTCTTCCTCCATACCCTGGGGAAAAGAAATAGCTGCAGGTAGTCCTTGATTTATGATCATTCATTCCATGATTGTTCAAAGATATGGTGGCACTGAATGAAGGGATTTAGGACTCATGCCCAAAGTTATGGCCATTGCAACACCTCTATGGTCAGCTTGATGAATTTATTTTATTTATTTAGCATATGGTATATCATACGTGCACTAGCAATATACAGTATATTAGCATTTCATCTAGATTAGTAAAACACGAGCATGCATGCGTACTCAATTTGTGCTGGTCCGCCACTCATGCACATTGAGTTGCACATGCTTGTGTGTGCAGGTCCGCTACTTGCGTGGCCCGGTTGCAAATAGGCCATGGCCAGTAGTGGGCTGTGGCCCAGGGGTTGAGGACCCCTGGCTTAAAGAGTGCTGTAGTGTAAAGCACTCTGAAGCAGTATATAAGTCTAAGTGCTATTGTGCTTTTTAAAAATCTTTGCAATGCCTAAAGCAAGCCCCACATGATCCAGCAGCCAGGCCAGGCATGTCTCATCAGCAATGGGAGCAAGAAGACAGCAACAAAGATTGACTGGGGCATTGGAGCACAAGGCCGCAGAGGTCTCAGATTGTAGGATGGTGAGGGTAACTGGAACTGGGCTTGGGCAGTTGTGGCTTCCTGGGGCTCACAGTTGCATGGTTCTGGGGCTGCTTGCTGCCCTGCAATGGCTTTTGTGTTAAATAAGCATGAGATTGTGATGTCAATATTCAATTGCAGGCTGATGATACCTGGTTCTGATCTATCTAGTGGCATAATAGGATTTGTTTACATTTACTTCTGGGATAGGATAGGATCTCTACGCATTACTTTAAAGGGTGGCTGGTACATGTGGGCCATCTAAGAGTAGAATTATCCCATGCTACTTTTCTTATATAATAACTCTACTCCATGATAATATCTGTGAAACCTTCAGGGGCCCAAGGTTCTTTGTTGTGGTTGATGTTTCTGTTATGTAACCAGTCTTGTGCTAATCCTTCATTAGCAAAAAAAAGCTGGATGCAAATCAAAATGTCTCACATTCCATGTTTTTAATCCCTGTTTTCTGATTTTCAGAGTATTGATACGGCCCATCAGAATATGGTGCAAGGACACATCTTTATGGGTACAGGTTTGGTAGAGAACAGTCAGATCAACAGAAGTCCTCTTTCTTACCTTCAGAATCCAGTTTCTGAAAGACTCCGGTAAATGAAGGAAATTCCTGAGGCATTTGTAATGGATTTATGGTGAATCTTATAATTTAGCTAAGACATAGTATTTACATCTATGCAACCCTGGATTAAGATTCACTTTTTCAAACATGTTGACTAGGGAATTCTGGCAACTGAAGTCCACAGAGCTTAAATTTGTCATGGTTGAAAAACTCTGCTCTAAACAATTATTTGTTTGTTTGTTTAGAACTTTCTCAATTAAAAAAAAAACCTATAGGTATTTTATAGGAGCCCTATCTGGAATATTATGACTTATTGTTTTGTTCTCTTTTCAAAATGCCTTAATGTCCAGAAGGAGAGGAAAATACTGTATATGAAGAGGGTATTATTTTTTTCCTCCTCCTTCCATTTTCTTGATGAGGGAAGGTCACTATCAAATGCGGATCATAGGAACGGCAATGCTGGAAGGGTCATTTATGTGTTTATTCATTTTAGACCACCTGGAACTTACGTCAATGAGCAGTTTACAGACAACAGAACATCCATGGTATAATAATGACATAATAGAAATTATAAATTATAACAGTAAAGCAACATGGATCATTAAGTGAACAACTAGAATCAACATATAAATGAAAATTGATACATACTTGACAAGGTCTGTCTACAGTAAAACCTCCATGATATTAAGAGTGTGTATATAGGTAAAAGTGGTACATATGTGAATGTCCAGGAAGCTTTAATGTTGATGTTGCTAAGGATGTTGATAATGCTGAGAATAAATTTTGAGTGCTCAGAATATTGAATGCTGAGAATATTGAATTCTTTATGCCAGTGAGGAATTCTGGGAGTTGAAGTCCACAAATCTTAAAAGTTGCTAAGACTGAGAAGCTCTGTTCTAGTTGCTATAAAAGTCTCTCTTTTCTCCTCCCTGCCCCCACTTCCTCCATCTTTTCTAGGTATTCATCAAATATAGACAAAGAAATGACGGTGCTGAAAATGGTTGCAAATAATGGCCAAGAGATTGGAATGTTTAGGTGAGAACTCCTTTGAAAACAGGAAGGAAGTCATCCCAGGCAGACTGTATTGGTTCATTTTATTCCCAGCAGGGCTGTTACAGCCTACATATATAACTGCTCATAATGGCTGGTGTAGTGGGTAGGTTGGGATAAAGCAGAGAGAGTGACTGGCTCAAACATACAGGTGAACTTGAATGGTCAAAGGTAGTCTTGAACTTTGGCCTTCTTTTTTTAAGTTCATCACCTTTATCCTATTTCATGCGTTGTCTGATGAAGTTGAAGTTAAAGGAAAATGGATGGGTAAGGGGAAAAAAAGTTGAGAGATGCTGATTTGTGTAGTGAAGAGAAAAGGAAATAGAATAAGACCCTACTCCATTGTATTGGAAGTATAGCTTGTTGGAAGACAGGTTAAACATGTATTCCTGCTGGTTATTAATCACTGACTGCTTACTAGCAGTCTGCATTCTAGCAGCTTCCATTTCAAGAACAGAGCTTTAGAAGGGTGATTTTCATCTGTTTAAAAAAAAAAAAAATGTTCATGCAAATGTTCATAAAGCTAACCACCAGACTGTAAGAACACAAGCGAGTGGATAGATTAGGAGACCCAAACTCATTGGTAGTCTCACATTGCAATGAACAAGGGCACACATTTAATTTCGCAGCAATTAAGATCATTGGCCTTTTAGATACAAAGGTAGCCAGGGAAGTGATTGAAGCCTTGCCACTTAACAGGAGTGCTGAGTTACCATCAGCTTATTAAGTACTTAGGAGCCAGTGGCTTAGCAGCCAAGGAAATAACAGCCAGTCGCCAGCTATCAACACACCAATCAGCCAATAGGAAAGCACCACATAAACATGACTCAAGCCCCAACCCTGCAGCCCAAAGCACATATTCTAATAGAGAAATTCCCTGAAGATGGGCTTCAGCATGAGCCTCAAAGCTCGGAAGAGTAAACCTCTGGTCCCGGTGACCGACCCAAATTCGATTTCACATCATTATCCTGGGACATGTATATTTGCCTTCATTACTTTTCATAAAGTGTTATATTTAGCCTTGGGTTTCTTTTAGCATTAAGATGTTGCTTAATGCTTTTTTGAAAAAGAGTAAGGATAGCTGAATCCGAAAGCTATCATGCCCTAATCACATCCAAATTGGATTACTATAATGTACTCTAAATGGGGCTGCCCTTGAAGAATATCTGGAAGCTGCAGCTGATGTCAAATCCTGTGTGCCAGGCAGTGATGGATATGCCCAAATATATTTGAGTGATCTTTCCACTGCAGGAGCTCCATTGTTTGCCAATGGTCTTCTGGATGAGATCTAAGATGTTGGTTGTCACCTTTAAAGCAGGGGTCCCCAATCTGTGGGCCATGGCCACTACCAGGCTGCTACCTATTGGCCCTGGGGCTGTGTGAGTGGCTGGCTGCTGCGTTGCTGTGCGCTTACAGCTCCACTCGCACGAGCATCACCGAAAGTGTTGTGGCCGTTTGTAGCCCCACTCGTGTGAGTGTCGCCACGAGCGTCATGGGCGTTGGCCCCATTCACACAAGAGTCACGGGCGTTGGCAGCCCCATTTGTGTGAGCATCACAGGCATTGGCGGCCCCACCTGCACGAGCATCACAGGTGTTGGCTGCCCCATTCATGCGAGCGTTGTGGGCACTGGTGGCCTCACTCGCATGAGCATCACGGGTATTGGCAGCCCCACCCGCATAAGCATTGCAGGCGTTGGTGGCCCCATTTATGCAAGCGTTGTGGGCATTGGTGGCCTCACTCACATGAGTGTTGTGGGCGTTGGTGGCCTCATTTGTGCAAGCATCGGGAGGGTTGGTGGCCCCATTTGCGCAAGCATTACGGGCATTGGCAGCCCCATTCACTTGAGCAATATGTGTTTGTGCATGCACACACGCATGTATTCACCCCCACCCACAAAGCCATCCCTTCTTCCCCCTCCTGCTCCGGGCCACCCACCCCGAAAGGTTGGGGAATTCTGCTTTAAAGTCCTATATGACTCTTATCTAAGCTATCTAAGAAACCATTTCCTTTGCCATTCATCTATCCATCCAACCAGATGTCAGCCATCGATGGGTGAATGATCTCCAGGTCGCAACCCTGCAGGATTGTCATTGGAGAGTGCCTCAGAGATAGGCATTTCCATCACTGCTCCATTGTCTGGAACTCCCAATAAAGTTTCATTCCACTTCATACCTCCTGTGCTTCAAAAAATAAAATAAATTTCCTGACTCTATTTAATTTATAAAATATATTCTCTTCTGGAGAAGAATGCAGTGGTATGCTGTACATTATACAGGTGGGGCACGTGGCATGCGTGGCAGATTTACTTATCACAGGAGATGAGATCTGTCCTCTCTTTTAACTTTCAGGGAAAGCTTTAAAATCTGGCTATGACAATTGGCTTGGAATCTTGAAGGAGAAGCTGTTGGTTGAAAGTGGTTGGTGCAGTAATACAAAAGGCACCAGCGCATCTCTCCACTCTAAACCCAGGGTTTTGAGATTGTTTGAACTGTTTGTAATTTTAACCTGTTTTTATATTTATAGTTATTTGAATATTTGCATATTTTATCACATTGTAAGCTACCTGGTGTCACCTCAAACTGTGAGATGTGTAGCAAATAAATTTAATAATAAATAAAACTAAATGTATTAGAGATAGATAAATATACAGACAGACAGACTTGATTTTGGGATAGGATGTGTTAAATCATATATGGTTGGCTGGAAATAGGTAGCATACGAGTAAGTAAGTAAGTAAGTAAGTAAGTAAGTAAGTACTTTCCTAACAGCTTTCCCTTTATTTTTTTACAAGTTGGTTTGCCATTCATCCTGTCAGTATGAACAACAGCAACATTCTGGTTAATAGCGACAATGTTGGCTATGCAGCTTATCTCTTTGAACAAGAGAAGAATGAAGGATACCTTCCAGGAAAGGTAAGAACAATTAATGTGCATCATTGTATAAAGCATAGTAAGTTGTGTCAGCCCTTCTATTGAATGTAGCTAGTAGTTCAAATAATCCAATGTTGTTGCTAGTGATTGATAGCTACCCAGAGTTTTATACAGAAAATGTTATATTTCTATATGAAGATCTTGGGATTTGCATCTGAGACCTTTCCGATGCAATGCATGGAATAATAGCCCCAAACGATTATTCCCCATTAGGTTTTAAACACTGTTTAAGATGCTATTAGTACTTTAGGTTTTATCAACAATCTAAAGTTCAACTATGTTACTCTCCAGAAGCATTACAAATTCAATTCCTAGAATTCCAGGTCCTGTTGACCAAGAGATTTGGACATTATACCCACAGTACAGTTGAGGAGGTGAAGGTGAGGGAGCTAAACTGGAGAAGTGTGTTCCTTTCTTCAGTTGGCAGAAGAAATATGGACTCTAGAAGTTCTAGAACACTTGGTTCTTTTTTTTTTTTCATATATAAAATTTTTATTATTTTCATCATAAAAAAAACATCACAAATATTACACAATGCTATGAAATGAAAAAAACCCCACCCCCCACCCCCCCGGACTTCCCAAACCTAATCCCAGGATAATATTCAGATATAAGTAAACAAGTATTAATATCTCTAACTCCACAAAATGCATTGTTCTACATGTATAGGTAAAATATATTAAAAAGAAAAAAAAGAAAAACAAATTTACTAAAAACCTAGATTATATTCCACCACTCTATGCTTCTTTTGAANTTATTATTATTATTATTATTATTATTATTATTATTATTATTATTATTATTATTATTATTATTATTATTATTATTATTATTATTATACTTTAATTCATTAAACATGAACCTCAGTCAACTGAACATTCAAATCGGCTGGCGCTGATGGGTGACACGGGTTGCTACCAGCATCCTAGGTGTCAACCAGGTACCTCCTTAAAATGTAAGATGTTCCGAGTAGCGCAGTTTTTTGTAACATTGCTGGCGTTATTGCAGGAAGTTGCAATTTCTTGATGTGTTTTGCAAAGTTTCTGGACATAGTTCCCAGTGCCCCGATGACAATGGGTATTCACCGTTACATGTTTCATCCATAATCGCGCAGTTTCGATGGCCAGGTTGCGATATTTTGTAATTTTTTTCCAGTTCTTGTTCTTTGACTCTGGCATCTCCTGGTACAGCGATATCAATTATTATTATTATTATTATTATTATTATTATTATTATTATTATTATTATTGTTGTTGTTGTTGTTGTTGTTGTTGTTGTTTTCAATATAAATTTTTTATTATTTTCATCATAAAGAAAAGCATCACAAATATTACACAGTGCTACGAAAAAACCCCCACCCCCCACCCCCAGACTTCCCAAACCTAATCCCAGGATAATATTCAGATATAAGTAAACAAATATTGATATCTCTAACTCCACAAAGTGTATTATTCTACATGAATAGGTAAAATATATTAAAAAAAAAAGATAAACAAATTTACTAAAAACCTAGATTATATTCTACCACTCTATGCTTCTTTTGAATATAAACAATCCATCTTCTCCATATTAATAAAAATTGTTCATTTGAATAGTTCTTCAAGTAAGCCGAAATCTTTGCCATTTCAGCAAGGTACGAAACTTTCAATCTCCAGTCTTCCATTGTAGGTAAAATTTTACTCTTCCAATTTTAAGCTATCAACAAACGGGCAGCAGTTAAGCAATACAACATCAAATTCGTTTCTTTTACATCCAAATTTTGTGTGATACCTAGGAGAAACAACTGAGGCGAGAAAGTAATTCTTCTTTTAAAAATTTGCTGTAAGTTCCACCACAATTTTATCCAAAAGGCCTTAATAACCTTGCAAGTCCACCACATATGAAAAAAAGTTGCATCTTGTTGTCCACACCTCCAACACTTGGATTCATAATTCTCATAAATGCGAGACATAGTTGCAGGGTCCATGTGCCATCTGTAAAACATTTTATAGAAATTCTCACGTAGATTTTGAGCTTGTGTAAACTTCACATTTCTCACCCAGATTAACTCCCAAGTATCCATAGATATAGTTTCTCCTATATTTTGGGCCCATTTGATCATACAATCTTTAACTAACTCAGTTTCTGAATCCAATTCTAATAAAACATTATATATCCTTCTAATGTGTCCTTTAGCACCGTCCCTTACTTGTTTCAAAAAATTCCCATCTTCCATAGAAAAAGTAGTCTTTTTATCAATTCGCCATCTCTCTTGAATTTGTCTATACACAAGCCAAGAAAAGTCTGGATTTTTCTGTTTCAAAACTTCTATTGATTTCAGGCACCAGTTACCACTACCACTTTGGTATAACAAGTCTTTGTAGGAGGGCGCCTCCATCACCACATATCTAGGTATGGTCAAAAAAATATGTGATGGTATCACCCAAATTGGGAGTTTAACATCAAACTTAAAAAAATACTTTTGCCAAACTCTTAACAAAGCAGCCCTTATTATGTGATTTCTAAAAGTTTTATCAATCTTTTTCTGCATAAAAAGATAAGCATGCCACCCAAAGTACAAGTCCCATCCTTCCACGTTCAATATCCTTTTGTTGGACAAGTTAATCCAATCCGTCATCCATATTAATGCACAAGAATCATAATAAAGTGTCAAGTTTGGTGCTTTAAGTCCTCCACGTTCTCTAACATCTTGAATAATCTTAAATCTAACTCTGGCTTTCTTGCCTTCCCAAATGAAACGATTCAGATCTCTTTGCCATTCTTTCAAGTTAATTTCATTTTTTAAAATAGGTAACATCAGCTTTCAATTGTTTAATTGCATTTAAAATTTCATCTGTGGTAATCTCTTCATTCATAAGTTTCTGTTGATCCAATGTAAGTTTATATATAGATGAGGATTGTAAGTATTCATCAATATCTTCACTCTTTATAGTCTGTTTGTATGCATTATTCATAGCAATTAATATTCCCCTCAGGTAAGCTTTACTGGTATCCCAGACAATATTTATAGGGGTTCCTTTATTCATATTAAGTTGAAAAAACTCTTCCATACGTTCCTTCAAAGCTTTAACTTTATCCTCATGATTAAACAAATTTTCATTTATTCTCCAAGATTTCCTTTTTCTTTGTTGACCAATCTCTATCCACACCATACTATGATCAGTCAAAGTTCTGGGGAAAATTTTAGTTTTATTACAGTCAGTAAGCAAGTCAGTCGATGTCAAAACAAAATCAATCCTTGAAAAAGACTCATGTCTGTGAGAAAAAAAGGTGAAATCACGTTCATTCATATGTTGTGATCTCCAAACATCCACCAATTCTAAGTCCTCCATCATTGCAAAAAAAGACTTGGGGAGCCTGGAAAGGGTTGCATCCTTAGAAGTTGTTTTTTTATCTTTTAATGTGTCAAGAACTCCATTCCAGTCTCCCATAACAATCAAAGAATTATAATCCATAGCCACAATTTTCTGATGTAGTTGTCTATAAAATTGTTTTTGGGCTGAAAGTTGATTAGGGGCATAAACCCCTATTATTAAACACTTTCTTCCATTTAAATTTATTTCCACAAATAAGAATCTTCCTTCTTTATCAGCTTCTTTTAAAATAGGTGAAAGGTGTCTTTTAATATATATTGCAACCCCAGCTCTTTTTTTTAAGGCAGATGCAAGAAACAAATCTCCAAGCTTAGAATTCAATAATAATTTTTGATCTTTAGCCACAATGTGAGTCTCTTGTAAACATGTAATGTCATTATTAAAATGTCTTAAATAATGAAAAACCTTACGTCTTTTATGGGGAACATTAAGTCCACCCACATTCCAAGATATAAGCTTACACATTGGCAGGTTTCAATCCACTGACTATACTTGATGCATAAGACTTAACGAAAACCTTGGGTCGAGCGCCACCTACTGGCTCAGAAGTGGCAAGTAGCGGACAGTCAGCTGTAGGGCTATCAGCTGTAGGGCGGACTGTCATCTGTCTTTCCTTCTCCTTACGTCTATGGACTGCGCGCGTCATTCTTTGTTCTTTCCCATCGGCTTTTAAGCTCCCTTCTACATCCTGAACACCGGAAACAGAAGGGAGGTCCACATTCAATTGCTCAGCTGCATCGATCTTTTGAGATGTGGGTGGGCATTCTGCTTGCAAGACGGACGCCATAAAATCATTAGCTTTCTTAATCGAATTAAGTCTGTAGCGTTTACCAGCCACTGTTACGATTATGCCCACCGGTATGTCCCATCTGAAAATTATTTGTCTATTCTTAAGCTCCTGTGTCAAAAAGGCATAGTCTCGACGCGCTCTGAGTATTTTCGCTGGGATTTCTTTTAAAAGAATAATGTCTTGGTTTAAGATCTTAAATCTTTGTTGGTAAAAGAGCTGCATTATTTCATTTCTTCTCGATTTTCTTGTAAAATAGACCACTATATCTCTTGGCAAATTTTTTTGGCGAGCAATCCAAGAGTTCACCCTAAAAACACGCTCTAATTCCAAATAAATTTCCTGTCCACAAGACAAAGCATCCATAAATGCATCTGAAATTACTTGTCTTAAATTCTCCTTTGGATCCTCAGCCAGCCCACGGATCCGAATTGCAAGCTCCATATCACGAAATTGGGCAATCAGCACATCAGCCTTAACATTTTTCAGACTCTCCTCTACAAGTTCAAGTCTATGGTCACTTGCTTCTGCTGTTTGTTCGTTTTCCTCCACCCTTTCTGCCACCACATCTACATATTCAGCCAAACCTTGGAAAGCGGTTGCCACATTCAAACAAAAGTCCTCATGTTTCTGTGATAAGTCTTGTTGTTGTTGTGATAAGTCCTGTTGTTGTTGTATTACTTGATCAAATCTATTTTGCATTTTAACATCCATCGCTTGAAACATCTCAGTCATTTGTTTAATGGTTACAGGCATCAAATCCTGCAACTCTCTACCAGAGGGCGGTGGAGGTGAAGAAGATGGTGGGGGTGGGGGGTGGG